GCTTGCTGCGTCGACGCCGAGGTCCAGGACCAGCTGGCACCTTGAGTCCACCGCAGTGCCCGTTCAGCGATGCAGGGTCAGGCAAATCGCGCCAGGTCCGACGTCGACACCGTGACAGACTGGCACAGAGCACTCTTTTGGAGGTCGCTAACTGCCCTCGTTCCAGAAAGCCAATTCCTCCCTTGGGACCTTTGTTGGGTACGACCCGCACGACCGCGCGCCCACGAACGACCTCCGTGTGGGGTCCGGACAGCTCGGCCCGGCGCCGCAGCTGAAGTTTTGGAGCCTCCTTAGGACAGGCGCTTCATGAGTGTACAGGGTGTATCACAGCCGCCGCCGCACTGTTGCGTATTTGCTTACTCCCTCCGCCATGGCTCCTGCGGTCCGACAGCCTGACAGGGTATGCATTCCCGCAGCGCGCCCTCAGCCCCGTGCACAGCCAGTTGCTCGCGCTCCCACAACAGCTCATACCATGACTGTCGCCCCCACGGACCGGCCCTCACCGCCACCGTCGTGCAGCTCGCCACGAAGCTCATGGGTGTTGCTGGGTCCCTCCGCGTCGCGGCGCCCGTCGACTCCGTGGCCTGGCCAACGAGGGCGACGACCACCAAGATCCTCCCAGTCGAGCTGCAGCCACTCGCCTACCGCCGTTGCTCAGTGAGAGGCTTCCTCCTCGCCCCGGCTCCATGGACCGTGCACCACAACGGAATGACTAGAAACACTCAGCAATCTGTTTATTTCCACGGAGGCGGGGCTCGACCTTGTCCCGAGCTCGGTGGGCGCCGAATGCCGCCGCGCCGCCCGCTACCACGAACATTCGCCCTGGGACCTTGCTCAGGGCCGGCCGACCCTTCACGTTGCGACGATGCATCCTCCCGCACCGACGCGATAGCCTCTTGGGAGCTGCCGACCACCGCGACATCCGGCGTCGACCCGCCAAAGGGTGCGGTGTTCCCTTGTGCTGCAGGCGGAGGCGCGCCTCCCTGGCGCCACCGCGGCCCGCGCGACCCGCGTGACTCGACGAGGCATTCCAGCCGGTGAGCCACCCCGGAGCCACTCGAACTGCCGCTGGGGTCGCTGGGCTCGATGACCGCTACCCGGGGTGGCGGGGTGCGCCGCAGCCCAGCCGGTCCTAGGTGGAACACACGAGCCTCGCTAAAGGAAAACCTATCTGCGCGTTACAGTCCATGCGACAGTGAAAGTAATCACGTGACTCGGTTAAGTAGGCAACGGTGGCCTGGTAAACCGCGGATCAGACCACCATATCCTCTAGTTCGACCTGCAAACGCCCCGAAATTAAGACTTTCAGAGCCGTCAGAATTAGAAAGAACACTCAGTGTTGAATCACGACAAACCTCCAGGAAACGCGCACATGCCTCATGCCTCCCTGTCAAGAGTTGGTCGAGCCATATCAACCAAGCAGCAGGCACCTCTCGCTCGCGGCCTGGGGGACCCCGCGCTCCCGCGGCGTTTCCAAGCAACAGCTTTGCCTGTTGCCGTTAATGAGACAAGTACCGTGTGTCAGGGGCACAGCAGTGGTTGATGCCGGCCAGCATGCGCTACTGGAGAAAGATCCCGGTGGCTGCGCTTGGGCCGTGACGGGATTGTCGGTACGTCCACCAGGTCTCTGCTCCGGTAGCGTCTAGGATGCCCTCGTCCTCGTGCACCTCCAAATGGCGCTTCCCTCTCAGTCTTGCCACTCCTGTCGAGCTCACGATGATCGGTGACGCTGCTGTGAGCGCGCCTACAAGTACGGCTCGGCCTGCTTCCTGCCACGCACCAGGCGCCGAGGAAGGGTCCTGGCCGCCCGCTCAAGTTGTTACAGCCCGTGGCTGATGAACTACCACCCGGGAGGTAGGCAGCCGTTCCGACAGGGGCAGCATTGGTGGCCTACCTGTGCGAGTTTGGTCGCACAAACCGAAACTGGAAGGCAAGCAGTTACGCCTGTGGGCCGCCCTAGGGGAAGGAACGGGGAAGGGGGGGGGGGGCACGGGTGAGGATACGAAAGGGGGCAGTCGAGAACCACCCGGTCGGCCGTACGGTACGCGTCGCTCGGCGGGCAGCATCACCAGCTAAATGCACACCATGCACACCTCGCGGGTCGCCTACCGGGTGGTGCCCTAAGGGGCTAGGGAAGGCAAAGCCTCCCGCAACGCTCACAACCGGAAGCGGCTGCAGTTCAGGGGACGCGCGGCGGGGGTGCCCGCGCCAGGGGCCAAAGGGATGGCATGGGATGCAGGACCTCGGCGGCGTCCTGGTCCGAGTTGAGGCCCTACCATCAGCCGCCGCGGTCCGCACGCCCTCGGTGAGGCGGCGCAGCACCACCTCCATGAGCCCGGGCTCCGCCTCGGCGAGGTGGAGGAAGGCCTGCTCCAGCTGGTCCTGCTCGAGGACCTTGCCCAGCC